CCACCGGGTTGTCTGTTCCCATGATGCCAGCCCAGCGGGGAGCAGGCCCACTGCTCTGAGGGATGAGGGCCTACTGCTCCACACTGGCTCCCACTAGTCTTTTTCTTCTATGTTTTTAGAAATGAGGTCTCACCGTGTCGTCCCGGCTGGAGTACAGTCGCAGGATCACAGCTCACTTACAGTCTCAGACTCCTGAGCTCCAGTGATCCTCCTGCCTGTGAAGGGAAGATACAGCTTGCCCCTCCCCCCACCCCAAAGCACTAAGCTAAAAGGAAAAGTCAAGCTGGGAACTGCTTAGGGCCAATCTGCCTCCCATTCTATTCAAAGTCACCCCTCTGCTCACTGAGATAGATGCGTATCTGATGGCCTCCTTTGGAAAGGCTAATCAGAAACTCAGAGGAATGCAGCCTCCCCCTCTCACCTACCTGCGACCTGCAAGCCCCCTCCCGCTTCCAGTCTTCCTGCCTTTGCTTCAAGTTGTCCTGCCTTCCAGACCAAACCAGTGTACTTCTTACCTATATTGATTGATGTCTCATGGCCCCCCAAAATGTCTAAAACCAAACTGTGCCCCGACCACCCTGGGCACGTGCCGTCAGGACCTCCTGAAGCTGTGTCGCGGGCGAGTCCTCAACCTTGGAAAAATAAACTTTCTAAATTAACTGAAACCTGCCTCAAATTTTCAGGGTTCACATGCCTTAGCCTCCCGAGTAACTGGGACCATAGGCCCGTGCCATCATGCCCGACTCATTTTGTTGTTGCTGAGACAGAGTCTAGCTATATTGCCCAGGCTGGTCTCCAACTGCTGGGCTCAAGCGATCTTCCCGCCTCTGCCTCCCGAAGTGCTGGGATTACAATCACGAGCCACCACGCCCGGCCTTCTTTTTCTCTTTCCAGCACTGGCTTTGAAATCTTATGAAATCCAAACGGATGGGAGCCTAGGCTCACAAGTATGTCTTGATGGTTTTGGTTCATCAGAACCCTTGCCAAGACGTTTATTTTTAAACGTACGGCTTAAAATATATCATCCTCGGCTCTGAGCCAATGAGAGGAAGCCAAAGTAAGGGACACACGGAAATTCTGCTGCTGCCAGAGTAAGGGAGAAATTCTGGAAAGGACGTTCTAGTGCAGCAGGCAAAGTTTCATGGCACCAACAGCTATTTTCCAGGAAGAAAATCTTTATGGAGTTTATGGAAAAAAGAAAGGGGGAAAAAACGTTTCTGCAAACGGACCTAAGCCCTGGGAATCTGAACGTTCCCATCTGAGGAAAGGGAAGGGGGAGTCCAGGGGCCTCTGCAGGACACAAGTGCAATGTTAACCTGCTGCTCTCAGCGAGGCTCCTCTGCATGGAGGAGCCCTTCCTTGGCCTGAGTGGTACTTAGAAGCAGGCCCTTGTCTTTCTTTTTTTTTTTTTTTTGAGACAGGGTCTCACTCTGTCCCCCAGGCTGGAGTACAGTGGCATGACCTTGGCTCACTGCAACCTCCACCTCCCAGGTTCAAGCGATTCTCCCACCTCAGCCTCCCAAGTAGATGGGACCACAGGCGTGCACCACCACGCCCAGCTCATTTTTGTATTTGTTGGTAGAGACGGGGTTTCACCATGTTGGCCAGACTGGTCACAAACTCTTGACCACAAGTGATCTTCCCAACTCAGCTTCCCAAAGTGCTGAGATTTCAGGCGTGAGCCACCGCGCCCGGCCAAGGCCCTTGTCTTTCTCATGGCTTTAGTTTCCACCCTTCCTCCCTTTTCCTTGTGCCACCGAGCACTTTAAAAATCCTGATTGTGTCACCAGAGTTGCAAACTAAGGCATCTACTTGCAGAGGTCAGCCTAAGCCAGCTCATGGGGCTTGAAGTTTTTTTGCTTTTTGTTTTTTGTTTTTTGAGACGAAATTTTGCTCTTGTTGCCCAGGTTGGAGTACAATGGCGCTCACTGCAACCTCTGCCTCCCGAGTTCAATCAATTCTCCTGCCTCAGCCTCCCGAGTAGCTGGGATTACAGGTATGTGCCACCACGCCCAGCTAATTGTTTTAGTATTTTTAGTAGAGACGGGATTTCTCCATGTTCATCAGGCTGGTGTCGAACTCCCAACCTCAGGTGATCCACCCACCTCGGCCTCCCAAAGTACTGGGATTGCAGGCGTGATCACCGTGCCCGGTCGAAGTATTTTTAAGGTGTATTTTCCAGCATCTTTTGATGCTCTTCATACTTTCTTCAATCTTTCAGTTAGTTAAGTGCATCATTCTCTTTTTTCTTTTTTTTTTTTTGAGACGGGGTCTCGCTCCATCTCCCAGGCTGGAGTGCAATGCCGCGATCTCGCCTCACTGCAAGCTCCGCCTCCCGGGTTCACGCCATTCTCCTGCCTCAGCCTCCTGAGTAGCTGGGACTACAGGCCCCTGCCACCGCACCTGGCTAATTTTTTGTATTTTTTTTTTTAGTAGAGATGAGATTTCACCATGGTCTGGATCTCCTGATTTCCTAATCCGCCCGCCTCGGCCTCCCAAAGTGCTGGGATTACAGGCGTGAGCCACTGAGCCCAGCCTGGGAAGAGGTTCTTATCCCTGAAGCAGGCAGCCCCTACTGCTGTGTCGTTCCCCTGTTGGCTAGGGTTGGACCTCACCGTCTAAGCGAATTCCAATTGTCTCTTTTAAAGAGAGCAGGGGTACTAGCTGGAGTGGGGGGGTGAGTAGTTTGGCGGGAAGGGACGGTTGCAGAACAGGTGACTTAGGATGACTCAGGTCAGAGCTGGTGACCAGTGGTGACTCAGGACGGAGCAGGTGATAGAGGATAGGAGGGGATTGTTTACTGAAAGTAGGGGCAAGGAGAGGAAGGGAAAGATGAAGTTAAATTTTAAAATGAAGAACAAAGAATGGGGGAGCTGAACATACTGATACAATGGTTCTTTTTTTTTTTTTTTTTTTTTTGAGACAGAGTCTCGCTCTATCACCCAGGCTGGAGTGCAGTGGCCGGATCTCAGCTCACTACAAGCTCTGCCTCCCAGGTTTACGCCATTCTCCTGCCTCAGCCTCCCACATAGCTGGGACTACAGGCGCCCGCCACCTCGCCCGGCTAGTTTTTTGTATTTTTAGTAGAGGCGGGGTTTCACCGTGTTAGCCAGGCTGGTCTCGATCTCCTGACCTCGTGATCCGCCCGTCTCGGCCTCCCAAAGTGCTGGGATTACAGGCTTGAGCCACCGTGCCTGGCCACAATAGTTCTTTAGAGAGGGTCTCAGAACTCATTGTACTTAACAACTTACAGGCTAACACCTTTGAAGAGGAATTCATTATATACTATGTTTTGTTTTTGTTTTTGAGACAAGGTCTTGCCCTGTTGCCCAGGCTGGAGTGCAGTAGTGCAATCATGGCTCACTGCAAGTTCTGCCTCCTGGACTCGGTCGATTCTCCCACCTCAGCCTCCAGAGTAGCTGGAATTACAGGCAGGCACCACCATGCCTGGTTAATTGTTAAATTTTTGTAGAGATGGGGTCTCACCATGTTGTACAGGCTGGTCTCAAATGCCTGGGCTCAACGGATCCTCCTGCCTCGACCTTCCACAGTGCTAGGATTATAAGCATGAGCCACCGTGCCTGTGCCTGTCCGGTGCCAGTGTTTACCTGTGACAAAGCCACACCCAGACCCTCTACCTTCTTGCTCTTTGTCTCATGAATGAGTAGTGAAACCATCCAGGCACAGAGACAAACCTCCTGTTTGGCAGACCCGCTGAGATGCCCTGATTGCAAAACAACCGTACCTGGAAATTGTCCTACCTATAACTCTGTGTGTGTGTGTGTCTGTGTGTGATGGAGTTTCGCTCTTGATGCCCAGGCTAGAGTGCAATGGTGGGACCTCGGCCCACCACAACCTCCACCTCCTGGGGTCAAGTGATTCTCCTGCTTCAGTCTCCCGAGTAGCTGGGACTACAGGCATGTGCCACCACATTCGGCTAATTTTGTATTTTTTAGTACAGATGGGGTTTCTCCATGTTGGTCAGGCTGGTCTCGAACTCCTGACCTCAGATGATCCGCCTGCCTCGGCCTCCCAAAGTGCTGGGATTACAGGCATGAGCCACCGCGCCCAGCCTTAGCTGGCTTCTTTACTGCAACCTGTTTTATCAGCAAGGTCTTTATGACCTATATCTTGTGCCAGCCTCCTATCTTATCTTGTGACTTAGAATGCCTTAACCGTCTGGGAATGCAGCCCCGGGAAGTCTCAGCCTCACTTTACCCAGCCCCTGTTCAAGATTGAGGTGCTCTGGTTCACACGCCTCTGACACTCAAACACTCTCACACGAGCAGGTGAGCGGCTTTATGACACCCTGGCTGGAGAATTCCCTCTCCAAATCACAGTTCTGTTCTCAGCCTTTTGTGCATAGGCCACTCCGATTTGCTCCCCGACCCCCAACCCCCACCAAGGAAAACAGACTTTGGGCTGGGTGCGGTGGCTCACACATGTCATATCAGCACCTTGGGAGGCCAAGGCAGGTGGATCATCTCAGGTCAGGAGCCTGAGACCAGCCTGGCCAACATGGTGAAATCCTATCTCTACTAAAGGTTGTAGTGGGCACCTGTAATCCCAGCTACTCGGGAGGCTGAGGCAGGAGAATCCCTTGAACCTGGGAGGTGGAAGCTGCAGTGAGCAGGGATCATGCCACTGTACTCCAGCCTGGGTGACAGAGGGAGACTCCGTGTCAAAAAACAAAAACAGGGTTGGGCGTGGCAGCTCACGCCCATAATCCCAGCACTTTGGGAGGCCAAGGCTGGCAGATCGCCTGAGGTCGGGAGTTCGAGACCAGCCTGACCAACATGGAGAAACCCCGTCTCTACTAAAAATACAAAATTAGCCAGGTGTAGTGGCGCACGCCTGTAATCTCAGCTACTCGGGAGCCTGAGGCAGGAGAATCACTTGAAGCCGGGAGGCGGAGGTTGTGGTGAGCCAAGATGGTGCCATTGCACTCCAGCCTGGGCGACAGAATGAAACTCCATCTCAAACAAAAACAAAAACAAGACTTTGTAAATAGAAAGATTTAAAGAAAGGTAAGAATTTTGAGGCCGATAGATTTCACGTGCCCAGGGCCCAGTCTTCTTTCTTCCTGGACTCCTTCCCAATCCGCCTGGATCCTCTTGTCACCATCGCCCCTGCTCACAATGAACGATTTCCTCACTGGGAATATCACAAGGACTGTAGACGCTGCCAGAATTCCTTGGCACAAAACTCCTCTCTGAGTCAGAGCCTAACGCCGTTAGCGAGGGAAGAACAGCTGCAAGGGCCGCACATCTGCGAGTCATTTGAAAATTTTATGATGAATAAAAACTATCCATTACACAGACTCATACATTATATATTAACCTAACATGTCTGCAACTGCACTGCTAACCGTCTCTTTTGGTATTTTTTTCTAATGATACCCCAACTCCAACAATAAATTCAAAAATCTGAAACTTTGACTATCTAGTAGCACTACGTGCCATTTCCTAGTCCTATTCCTTTTTTTTTTTTTTTTTTTTTTTGAGACGGAGTCTCGCTCTGTCACCCAGGCTGGAGTGCTGTGGCCGGATCTCAGCTCACTGCAAGCTCCACCTCCCGGGTTCCCGCCATTCTCCTGCCTCAGCCTCCCGAGTAGCCGGGACTACAGGCGCCCGCCACCTCGCCCGGCTAGTTTTTTTTTGTATTTTTTAGTAGAGACGGGGTTTCACCGTGTTAGCCAGGATGGTCTCGATTTCCTGACCTCGTGATCCGCCCGTCTCGGCCTCCCAAAGTGCTGGGATTACAGGCTTGAGCCACCACGCCCGGCTCCTAGTCCTATTCCTATTCCATCTTTGGAGTAGCCATTCATTCCCTTATTCCTTCACTTTCTTAATAAACTTGGTTTCACTTTACTGACTGGCCCTGAATTTTTTGCGCGAGATCTAAGAACCCTTTCTTGGGGTCTGGATCTGGACCCCTTTCCTGTAATATAAGGGTCCCTTCACCACCCTTGTGGCGTCCCAGGATCACCCTGACCTCTAGGCAGTGTGGCTCAAGCTGGACTGAGTGGAAGAGCCACCCAAGGTGTTCAGTTTTACAAGAAGAATCATCAATAGAGCATTCACCGAAGGGACAGAAGAGAAGTGGAAACCCTCAGGGTGCTGAGAGTATGAGAGAACGATGCTGCCGGGCGCGGTGGCTGACGCCTGTAATCCCAGCACTTTGGGAGGCCAAGGCGAGCGGATCACGAGGTCAGGAGATCGAGACCATCCTGGCTAACACGGTGAAACCCCGTTATCTTCAGGTTATCTTCAGGCCAGGTCAGGAAATAGGGAACCGCCTGGCTTCTCTCCAATGCTTGCCATGATGTCCCATCACAAAGGTGATTTTTTCTTTTTTTTTTTTTTTAAGACAAGGTCTCATTCTGTTGCCCGGGCTGCGGTGCAGTGGCAAGATCATGACTCACTGCAACCTCTGCCTCCTGGGCTCAAATGATCTGCCCACATCAGCCTCCAGAGTAGCTGGGACCACAGGCATGTGCCATTACGCCCGGCTAATTTTTTTTATTTTTCTATTTTTTTATTTTTATTTTTATTTATTTATTTATTTTTTGAGACGGAGTCTCGCTCTGTCGCCCAGCCTGGAGTGCGGCGGCCGGATCTCAGCTCACTGCAAGCTCCGCCTCCCGGGTTTACACCATTCTTCTGCCTCAGCCTCCCGAGCAGCTGGGACTACAGGCGCCCACCACCTCGCCCGGCTAGTTTTTTTTTTTTTTTTTTTGTATTTTTAGTAGAGACAGGGTTTCACCATGTTAGCCAGGATGGTCTCAATCTCCTGACCTCGTGATCCACCCGTCTCGGCCTCCCAAAGTGCTGGGATAACAGGCTTGAGCCACCGCACCCAGCCTATTTTTTTATTTTTTCTAGAGACAGGGTTTCGCTATGTTGCCCAGGCTGGTCTTGAACTCCTGGACTCACACAATCTGCCCACCTCAGCCTCCCAAAGTGCTCTCGTTACAGGCATGAGCCACCGCACATGGTTCAGGAGGTTGATTTATTATCATTATTATTATTATTATTATTATTATACTTTAAGTTCTGGGCTACATGTGCAGAACGTGCAGGTTTGTTACATAGGTATACACGTGCCATGGTGGTCCGCTGCACCCACCAAAAATTAGATATTTCTCCTAATGCTATCCCTCTTCTTGCCCCCCAACCCTGATAGGACCCAGTGTATGATGTTCCCCTGCCTGTGCCCATATGTTCTCGTTGTTCAGCTCCCACTTATGAGTGAGAACATGCGGTGTTTGGTTTTCTGTTCCTGTGTTAGTTTGCTGAGAATGATGGTTTCCAGCTTCATCCATGTCCCTGCAAAGGACATGAACTCATTGTTTTTTATGGCTGCATAGTATTCTACGGTGTATGTATGCCACATTTTCTTTATCCAGTCTATCATTGATGGGCATTTGGGTTGGTTCCAAGTCTTTGCTATTGTGACTAGTGTTGCAATAAACATATGTGTTCATGTGTCTTTATAGTAAAATGATTTATGTATAATCCTTTGGGTATAAGGTTGATATATATATATATATATATATATTTTTTTTTTTTTTTTTTTTTTTTTTGAGACAGAGTTTTGCTCTTGTTGCCCAGGCTGGAGTGCAGTGGCGCGATCTTGGCTCATTGCAATCTCCACCTCCCAAGTTCAAGCGATTTTCCTGCCTCAGCCTCCTGAGTAGCTGGGATTACAGGCTTGTGCCACCACACCTGGGTAAGTTTTGCATTTTTAGTAGAGATAGGGGTTCTCCATGTTGGTCAGGCTGGTCTCGAACACCTGACCTCAGGTGATCCACCTGCCTGGGCCTCCCAAAAGTGCTGGGATTACAAGCGTGAGCCATCATGCCTGGCAAGATTGATTTTTAAACTTTGGAGACCTCGGGCCTCTGTGTTCCCCAGGATGTACGTCATGCCAAGGGCCCATGGCGCAGATGGCCTGCCTGGCCAAGGGAACCTCGCCTCTGCCTTCTCTCCTAGGAGACTTCCACTCGCCCTGTCCCCATCCACCTGGCATTAGTCATCTCTGTGACAAGTGTCAATGCTGGGCAGGGGTGGGGCTGCCTCCTGCCCCCTCCCCATTACTGTGGGTTGAGGGGCCAATGGGATACTGAATGTACCTGCAGACCGGTCCCTCGGAGGGCACTTTAGCAAGGCACTATCTCCAAGCCAGGGCCAAGGGATCTGCCGGGTGCCTGGGGTTAGCAGCAGCTGGGAGCCCACAAAATGCAGGACCGGGGGAGCAGTTACCCCAACCCAGGATGGTAGGTGAATGGAGGGAGCTGCACCCAGGTAGGCCCAGCATAAATCCCTGGCCTCACTTTCCTGGGAGCCTCCGCCAGGAGGCAGGAGGGGGAGGCAGACATAGAAAGCACCGGCATTGCTTCAGCTTCTCTGGGAACCAGGACAGCTCTGTGAACTCCTCCACAAAACAGGGGGCTCTCCTCTAAGAAGTGGGCAGAGGCAGGTGCGGTGGCTCATACTTGTAATCTCAAACTTTGGGAGGCTGAGGCAGGCGGATCATTTGAGGTCGGGAGTTCAAGACCTGCCTGACCAACATGGCAAAACCTGTCTCTATTAAAAATACAGAAAAATTAGCTGGGTGTGGTGACACATGTCTGTAGTTCCAGCTACTTGGGATGCTGAGGCAGGAGAATCACTTGAACTGGGAGGCAGAGGTTGCAGTGAGCCAAGATCATGCTACTTCACTCCAGCCTGCATGACTGAGTGAGACTCCATCTTAAAAAAAAGAGAGTGGACTGCACCCCCTTTCTAGGGGAAGCTGTTGTGTTGCCTCTGAGGACACTAAGGGTATTTTCATTTATTAGCTTCTCTGTTTTTTTTTGTGTGTGTTTTTTTTTTTGAGAGGGAGTCTCACTCTGTTGCCCAGGCTGGAGTACAGTGGTGTATTCTCAGCTCACCGCAACATCTGCCTCCGGGTTCAAGCAGTTCTTCTGCCTCAGCCTCCCAAGTAGCTGGGATTACAAGCATGTATCACCACACCTGGCTAATTTTTTTGTATTTTTAGTAGAGATGGGGTTTCACCATATTGGCCAGGCTGGTCTCGAACTCCTGACCTCAGGTGATCCACCTGCCTTGGCCTCCCAAAGTGCTGGGTTTATAGACATGATCCACCATTCCCGGCTGCTTCTTTGTTTTTTCTTTATTTGCTTTGTTAAATTAGGTTTAACCTAATGCTGCATTCTTTTTTTTTTTTTTTTTTTTTGAGACTGAGTTTTGCTCTTGTTGCCCAGGCTGGAGTGCAATGGTGCAATCTCGGCTCACTGCAACCTCCACCTCCCAGGTTCAAGCGATTCTCCTGCCTCAGCCTCCAGAGCAGCTGGGATTACAGGCATGTGCCACCACACCTGGCTAATTTTTTTGAGCCATGGCGCCCAGTCTAATTTTGTATTTTTAGTAGAGATGGGATTTCTCCATGTTGGTCAGGCTGATAATCCACCTGCCTCAGCCTCCGAAAGTGCTGGCATTACAGGCATGAGCCACCACGTCCAGCCAGCTGCATTCTTACATATTTTAAATTCTCTTTCTTTTTTTTTTTTTTTTTTGAGATGGAGTCTCGCCCTGTCACCCAGGCTAAAATGCAGTGGTGTGATCTCGGCTCACTGCAACCTCCGCCTCCCAGGTTCAAGCGATGCTCCTGCCCCAGCCTCCCAAGTAGCTGGGATTACAGGCGCCTGCCACCACACCCAGCTAATGTTTGTATTTTTAATAGAGATGTGGTTTCACTATGTTGGTCAGGCTGGTCTTGAACTCTTGACCTCCTGATCCGCCTGCCTCAGCCTTGCAAAGTCCTGGGATTACAGGCATGAGCCACCATGCCCAGCTACATATTTTTAGTTCTAACTAAAGGTTTCTCCACACACAGTGAACCGTTACCTACCTGATGAGTGTGCAGACTACAACCTACTCTTGCCCTGATTACCAAGCCTCAGCCCTCAGCCCTCAGCTGTTCAGCCCTCAGCCCTCAGCTGTTCAAACCGTATTTCAATAAGGCAGATGCCAGTTGTAGCTGTAACCAATTTGGCTCTTTTTTTTTTTCTTTTTTTTTTTTTTTTTTTTTTTTGAGACGGAGTCTCGCTCTGTCGCCCAGGCTGGAGTGCAGTGGCCGGATCTCAGCTCACTGCAAGCTCCGCCTCCCGGGTTTACGCCATTCTCCTGCCTCAGCCTCCCGAGTAGCTGGGACTACAGGCGCCCGCCACCTCGCCCGGCTAGTTTTTTGTATTTTTAGTAGAG